TCCTTAGCAGATTTTAAAGCAGTCGCTGCAGTCTCAGCACGTATCACAAAATCAGTCATGGTTTCGTTTTCCCCTTTCTTTAACGAGGTCAATTCTGTATACAGAGCGATGATTCTTGGCTTTCTTTTGCCTTGGTAATGTTCACGCAGAACACCAAGCGCTTTCCTATCATCGTCTCTTGCCTCTTTATAAAAAGAGACAAACTCCGATCGTCCAGACATTGTACAAATTCAGCGAATATATATAACTATAATATTCACCTCTTGCCTTCGTCTCTCCTCAAGTGCAGTTCTAACATTTGTTGGCTGCTTCCTTTTAGATCCTACACTTGTGGGCTCAAAAGAGTATTCAAAAATCGTGGGTACAGCATCCTTCTTAAGGCGAAGCCGTCCTGCTGTCCTACTGTCCCACTGATTGCATCGCTTCAAAATTTTGCACGAAGCACGAACTCTCGCAATGTTGCGAGCACAAGTTTGAGCTCTTTGTTGGCTTCCAATTTTTGCGTCGGATTTTTTCAATCCAAATATCTCGCATGCGCTTGATTTCGGGAAACGAAAAAAAAGAAACCTTTTGCTGCGTTTCGTGGTTCTTAGAAGAACCGTTTTAACAACTAATTGCGGCGCAATAAACCATATTTTCAATGCTAAATTGTCGTTTTGTTAATGCAGGCAAAGAAGTTACCAATATATTTTGAACGAGACGCGCAAATGACCGCGTTTAGCTAATGTCAACTATTACGTCACAACGACCTTTTTTCTCAAACTTTGGTGAACTATTAGTTGGAGCTATACCTTTATGTAAAGTACAAAAATAACAATCCGAATTTTATGTTGCATGTGTCCTTTAATGGATTCTATTATGTTTAATGGTAACAGATACAATGACAAATTGCATTGGAAAGAAGGACATAGTTTAGATTATACAAATTACAGCATAAGCTTGAGAAGATTAAAGGGTCAGTTAGTACGGCTGAAAAGCGAACCAGAAATTTTAGAAGAGTGTGATAAGACAATCAAAGATCAATTGAGGAGGGGTATTATAAAACCAGTGATAGAACTAGAGAAAGCTGATAAAATAGATTATTTACCACATCATGCGGTTTATTGCAGGGAAGCGAAAACAACTAAGGTAAGAGTTGTTTATGATGCGTCGTATAAAGAGTCCCTCAAGGCTTCCTCGCTCAATGACTGCTTGCATGTGTTTGACTTCCGCTCCTCTGACTATATTTTCTTTTCCCTTGATCAATCTCTCGATTCTCGCTATTTTCCAAAATCCTCTTTTAAAACTTTCCTCAAACACAAGAACTACATCACCTACTTTCGGACACAAACTACCTTTACTTTAAAGTCTTATGACACTCCCTTAAACTTGTTAAGTATTCCTTCCTCCACCTGGACCAAAAATGCTTTCTTAATCTCGCTAAACACCTAAGCCTACGCTTGACCTCTCCTGCATCTTTGTCAATAATAGTTTGCAGAATTCCTTCGTCTGGAATAGATGTTAATCTTCTTCCAAACATAAGATGTGCAGGAGGCAGTACATCTACATTCACTCCATCTTCATATACATAAGTCAATGGTCTAGAGTTTAGCGTACCTTGTGCCTCAACTAATGTTGTTAACAGTTCTTCCTTGTTCAATTAAGCGTTACTCAATACCTTCCTCAGAAAACCTTTCCCCAATGCTACCATTCTTTCAAAAAATCCACCACACCATGGTGTCCTCGCCAAATTAAACTTCCATATCAACCGCTTACCTTCCAAATATGATTTTACCACCTTACTTCCATAAATTCCCTTGAGCGCTTTCTCAGTTGCTTCAAATGTTTTTGCGATGTTCGAAACTATTAGCGATGATGCTCCCATTCCAGCAGTAAATCTTCGCACGCAAGTCAAAAATCAACGTGCACTTAAACTGTCAACTAAATCAAGATAAATTGCTCTTGCAACACAAGAAAATAATGCGATGTATACTTTTAACATCTGTCCTCGTTCTTTTGCAAACATTGGACCAGCAAAATCTACTCCTACTTTAGAAAAAAGTGGTGAATACTGAACTCTAAAATCTGGTAAGTCCGCTTGTACTGTTGTTCTATAAGCCTGTCCTTCATGTCTTCTACAAGTCTTGTAATTTCCTATCACCTTCTTCACGATCTGTGTACCTCGTGGTAGCCAATATTTGCCTCGTAGCTGAACTAAGGTCGCTCTTACGCCGCTATGATGAACCTTCCTGTGGCTATCTTTAATAATTAATTCGGTTAAGTGATGATCCTCAGGCAATAAAATTGGTTCTCTAGCTTCTAGCTCTAAATCTGAATTGCCAGGTCTTCCCTTACATCTAACTATCTCATCACGCTCTACTATGTTTAATTGTATAGCCAGTTGCTCATAATCACTACGTTCCATTAACTCTTTCTGAGCAATTCTAATCAACGCTCGTTCTGCCATTATCAGCCCTGACACTTCCAATATTTCAGTCCTCTTTGTGCCGTGTTTAACTCTTGCCTTAAAAATGTCTACAAATCGCCCAACGATAGCCATGACCTTTATTAGTCTCTCTAGATTACTAAATTTACCAAATTTTATCACACAATCTTTATCAACCAGCTGTGTGTTAGCAAATACTGTCTTTTTGACTTCCGCAAGCTTTTCCTCTGTAGTTTTTACTTCTTTTGGCATTGGCCAATCACACTGTATACCTGAACACCACATCAGTCCCTTCCACCAAAGTTCAATTTCCTTTAATTGTGATGCCTAACTCCCCTTGAACCTAAGTCCGCAGGGTTGTCTATACCCGGACAATGTTTCCAGTTATCCTTCCTGCTTAATCTTAAAATCTCGTTAACTCTATGGCGCACAAACTGTTTCCATTCTCCCCTATTACCGATCCAGCACAATGCAGTCTCTCTGTCCAACCAATAGTACGTACCATTAAATTGAACTAAAGGAAGATCTTTTTCATGATGACTGGATTAATTCATTCTGCGCACTTGAACTCTCCAAACTACTGGATTGACCCAAACACGTGGTTATCTGCATCTGGTGGTTTGCCGCTGACAGGTTTACCGCAGTTGTGACAGTATTTTGCATCTTCTAAGCAGCGGATGCCATAACCAGAACAATACGCCATTCTCTTAAAAAACCCTTAGTAATGAATACAAAAAAATTGCTATCTTCCACAACGAACAACACTGAATGGTAAATTTATGTTTTCGAAGTCTCGCTCGCCATTTTTTTTACGTTTTTCGTACGAGTACGCCGTCGTTGTCTGCCTGTGGCCGAATACTTTTTACCATCATGCGTGCGCACGGGTTTTTGACATTTAATTTGCAAAAACTTTTCATTTTAGTTTGCATCGAGTATTTTGTTTTAATTTGCAACAACATTTTTTTAAATTAAGTTGCAGAGACTTTTTTGGCTATAATTGTTTAAATGCAGCCATAAACTTTGTTAATAGCATGTCCCCTATGGGCCACCGTAATCAAACATTGTTTGTAATTAAGCCAAAATCTTTGGAAAAATTTGACTTTTCAAAACATGATTAGAGAAAAGTAACAATAAACAACACGATATTTGTGCGAACAAGCGCCGCCCCTGAGCTAGCGTTGTTCTCCAATAAACGCCGCATGCGTTATGAGAAAAAATTAGCACTGCTGTACTTGTTCGAACAAATACAGTATTCATCGTTCCGGGGAACAACGTTCTCTGAATGACATCTAAGACACGTTAGAAAACGTTTTTTAAACACAATCATAGAAAAAATGGTTTTTAGTGAAACCCTTTAAAAGTCGCAAGAAATCTAAATGACGTTACTTTCCTTGGTTCGATTCTTGTGAGCACGTGCATTTATGAGGCTTAGGTGCAATCTAAGCTAAAGCGTTCGAAAAATGCCGAAATGTTTAAACACTTACTTAGTCATATAACTAAAATCAATATTTAAATATAGAACGAGTTTGGTGTCAATGATATTGAATATACAATTTTATTTCAATTATGTTCATTTACCTAAATCATTTAGCCTATTTACTTCATAGGCTACCCACGTGTACGCGTTGCGTACCTATTTTTATTGTCATTGTTATTTTATATTTTGTGAAACATAGTTATTTAATATGTGAACATGGTTATTTAATATTTTGTAAAAAAGAAACATTATTAAACTATCAAGTCAAAATCGAGAGCAATCGACAAAAACCTTGTCCATCAATGTTGAAATCTATAGGGAACGCGTGTGAAAAACTCCGTTTTTTTTGCTAATATGTTTATTTAAGGCAAATATATCGCATAAAATTTTTTCGATAAGCATCACTACATTTGAAGAGATTTTAGTGCATTATGCTATTGATCCGATTTTTTATGACAGTTAAAGGGTTTTATATTATTCATACATGTTTTCAACGTTTGGAGTCACGATGTGATTTAATGTTGGTTTGTAGTTCTTTTAAAACGTTATCTGAGCGTTGTGAAAATCCCTTCTCATAACGTTTTCTGAATAGACTTTTATAACGTTGATACAACGCTTAAACTTGGACGCGTTGACCTTTGAACGTCGTGTTTTGGTCGTCTTCGACCAAACCAAACCACAACCAAGACACGACGTTGAATAATCGTAGTATTTAGGTTAGGTTCGACCACAATATGATCAAAATATAACGTCGCGATAACGCTATGTGCTAGCTGGGAACAGCTTTGCAACGGTTGACATGTATAGTGTAGTGAGTTGATCAAGCTTTGGTGAGGATAGTTCTAGACAAAGCTCGAGCAGTGCTTTTTGACTGCTTATGTTGTTTATATCATCAAATGATCACTTTGACAATGACTTGTTTTAAGTGCTTTATTTAATTAATTAATTCACTAAGTGATGCTATTATAATAAATAAATTAATTAATTTATTTAATTGTTGAAAAAGATAAACTGCTGAAATCTATTGAAATTAATTAATTTATTAAGTGATGATATAATAGTTAATGTCCTTATGAGCTCTGCTTAAAACATGTTTAGAAGGCGAAGATGCTCCAGAAAGGAGTGATGTTCCAAAGAATTGTCTTCTCTACGAAATTGCCGAAAAGATGAGTTCTCTATGGGAAGAGTTTGGTAGAATGTTACATGTACCTGAAGAAAGATTGAGCAGTGTAAAAATGGAACAAAATAGAATTGTAGAAAGGGCATTTCAAATGCTTCTATTCTGGAAGAGAAGCAATGGAAGAAATGCAACAGTAAAAATATTGTTGAATGTTTTAATTAAAATTGGCCGTCGAGATGTTGCAAAATATTTAGAAGGTATATTGCTTTCTTTATTCGTTATCATATAAAGGGCTGGTAGAAAACATCTAGAATATTGAAAAGTCTTTTCTGTCGAATATTTTTCTAATGGAAAATGTTTTATACTTGTATAGATAGGCTGAATAGAATTAGAAAATTTTGTGTTCCTGTCTAAGTTGATGTTCTTTATGTAAGTTCTAGTAACGGATTGTGATTGAATTTTTGTGTTTAGTTAATTTGTTTTGTTTTTTTTTCGTACGAAGGTTAACTTATGTACTTTAGAGCACTGCTACTCTTTGCATGGTAAAAGGTCATTTCCATTTGTTTTGCAGTGCCGTAGACAAGAGAAGAGGGGCAAAGCAAAACTAGGGTGGAAATTAGAAAGGGGTTGAGCAATAAGTATTTTGTTAAATAACTTTGTTACTACTAATTCCAAAAGTTTACAAAATCTTTTAGATTCTTTAAATCTAAAAGTAGAAAATAATGTCTACATTGGTTAATATGTGCTTCCTTGAGTAAATGAAAATATTATCATTAAATAAAGTATTACATTCGCTTATGAGCAAAACAAAGACTACAAAGTTTTAAGTTTTAATCAGTCGAAAACCCAATTGAACATTTTGTTGATATGACACCAAGAAGAATGAATTTGGCGTGACAACACCAAGTGTTGTAGTCGTCATCACGGCTCTAATAAAAGCATTTTCTTTGCGATACTAAATTTGTTTCAGTGATGCTTTAATTACTTTTGAAGTCGCAAAATTAAAAATCTGCTTTTCCTGTAGCAAATACCTTTCAGAATCACTGATCTCGAAATAAAACTGGATCGAGCATTTAGTACAAATGTTAAAGACAAAAAATAAGGAGCGCTGCCATTACTAAGCGACAAACTTTCGAAAATAAGGAGCAAATATATTGTGGATTTTTACGAGAATAGTCAAGAATTTTCCACATGTAACTACATGAGCAAAATTAAGAGATAAATCATTTTATAGAAAAGCTAAAAATATGATGAAATGGGATGAAATATGATGAAAATGCAGCGATTTTTGTTATCGGTAACTTTACTGTAGAATCGAAAAACAGAGGAAAATAGCCCAAAACTGCATGGAATATCTAGAATTGTTGAAATCATAATTCAGAAGTATTAAATGATTAAATATTTTCATTTACGATCGCAAACTGATCACTCCTTAAAAATAACAAGCCTTTTTTTACGAGTGATTTGTAATGAAACTTGTATGGAGAGTGTTGTTATAGGCCGATTATTCTTCCCGACTCTCTTTAATATCGCCACAAAGGTCGTTTTTCACTTTCTGCATTATTTGAAAGCATGATTTGGCTATGTGTTGCTATGTTTTCCATAGTTTTGTCAAAAAATCTTTTCATGTGTTTGTCCCTTAGTAATAGCGGTGGCGGCTTCTAAATTTGTTTACCATAAATATAGAGTTGCTTGATCCAGTCTTATTTCAAGATTCAGAATTTATGCAAAATCATTCACCATAAATAATGAAAATCACTATTGAGGGACCCTACCTTTAAAAATTTCACAGGGGAAGCATATGCTCTGACCTCCTTCGACAGCGTTCGGAGTTATGCCCCAACCACGCCAAACAATGTATGGTTGCGCCAATTTTGATTCTGTCACATGGGAAATGTTGAGGCTGACTGCACTTCCTTTCGTCTTAGAGTTTGGAAAATATTATTTGAGTTTGCGTTGTTTTATGTGCAATGCGAATACTTAAATTGAAGTATCAAGACTCATGTCTGTACAGTGGCTTTGTTATTTTAATTGTTATTGTTTCTGGCTAAGCAATCGGGTTTCGCTTTGGTTCTTTTGCTGTTGTTGCACATTTGCTTTCACCTACGATCTTACATGAGAGTAAAAATTTGTTTATTAAGGAGTTTTTGATTGGACCTTTCACTATATTACTGAAGAGTTGTTGGTAGTTATTGATCTTGAGTGCATTTGTAGAGTAGCTATAGAACATATGTTCTTTGTCAATATAACTTCTGAAAAACAACTTTAAATTAAAAATTACGGGAAAGAAAATATTGAGAGCTCAATGATTCCCAAGGAGGTCATTGAGTGAATTTGGATTTTAGAATGTGTGTAGCTGTATAGAAATGATAAATCATAAAAAAATTTCAGCGCTTGTGAAATTATTCTCCATGGGAATATAAAACTCATCTTGCTTTTATCTTGTTGTAGACAATCGTGGAAGAACGGAAAATAATTGCCGACAGCCACTTAAAGGTAATACATCATTATTTAATTGTATCGTCAATATTATACAACCCGTAGATGCGCTGTGTATTACAAATCATTACTTAAAGTATGAGTGTCAGAGTCATGCTTGGCAAGCTTGGTTAGCCGTTGTATTTGACCACGAAAATAGCAGCTTTTGTCTAAAAGCAAACTGTGAATTTTTCAAGAGGGTGAAAAATTTATGGATAAATTGTAAATGCTTGGCAAAGACGATCTCGCGAGCGACATTTCAGTCATTGATGTTCAAAAGAAAGCCAACATTGTTTTGAGTTTTATCGGCAGAAATTTACATCCAAAATCATAATTAAAGGACAAGTGAAGTGTATGCATGAGTGTAATATATCAAAGTCAATTTATGCGAGTGTGTGATGCGATTTATGTCAACATGGCGTATGGTAAGCAGATTGATGCTTCTAAAATTGTTGTTGCCAAAGGACTTTTAGCTATGATTTCTTTAGTGCTTGGGGAATCGTGGCCGTTATATAGCAGCGAAATCCTACATTCCTGCAAATATATTTCAATGGACAAAAAATCTGTAGCCATAAGGCGCCATACTATTATTTACTTTATCATAAACAAATGTTTGGGGTTTTTCAGTTTATGATCATTGATCATTCAATCATTGGACAGTTATACTACATATTGTTTAAGATTTGAGAAAACTAACATTGATTACATGAGAAGCTGTTTACTATAACCTGTGATTTTGAGTCTTTTCTGATCCATGAAGCTTTTTATTTTGACAATTTCACTGGAATGGTATTAAACCTGAGTATTTCACATACATGAAATGTTGTCCCATGTCACATATTGTCCCCTTTTCTAACTGAACACCTCATGTAGAGATGTGAAGGTGTGTTAATCTACGGCTCATACCAGATTGTTTGCCATAAATTCCAAAGGGCTATTGATGTATGAAAAGCATTTTCTATAAAGTAAAAATGTGTTCCTATGTATGCAGATAAACCTTGAAATTTGGCAAAACAGCAAAGTATTTTCATGATCACTAGGTAATTTTCCTGATGATCATTATAATTTCTAAACTAACTTATTTCAGATTTACATTTAAACGAGCTTTGATCATTTGAAAAGATATTTATCATAACGAGTAAACATGACACATGAACCAATTTTAACATTCATGTAATTATACAATTAAAGACATGTTGGTTACAATCTGTTTGTATTTGCAAATACAATGCTACTAGTGATTACTATATAGCACACTTTGCAAAAGATAATAGTCTAGTGAAATGCCTAATAAACATTTATGGCATTAAGCTGTCCTTAAGTGCTCATTTTCACTCTGATAATTTTTGCTTAATCTTTGGCAGAAAAAAATTTTGAGTTTTTTCTCAAAAGGTGAATTGGCTGGCACTGATGTGGAGATGGGTAAAGGGTTACAATAAACTTGCATGGTTTGAAGTTTGAGCTTTTCTATATCTATAAACTGTCACTTGTAGTACCAAATAGCGTTATTGTAAAATAAATTTTACGTTCCTAGACATGCTAATGAGCCATGTATTTGGTATGATAATGAGCCTAAATATTTGGCAAAAGGTGTTGTTTTTACGCAAAAACGATGCCCACAAAATACATTTTTTATTGCTCTAAAACGCTGAAAATGGCATTTTCAAGGCTCTGAAATTCAGAATTTCTCAGGGGAGAATGCCTCAGACCCCCCCCCAGGTGCGGAGCGCCTCCGACGTTTTATGACTGATGTTTGAAAAATCCTAGATCCGCCCCTGTTTGCTTTTTGCCTGGCACATTTACTTTAATAGATTGACATAGGGTGTAATTATCTTGATTTCGATGATTTTTTGAATAAAACCTGTCTGAATTATGGATGAATTCTTTAGTAATAGACATTGCCAAAGAGCTAGTAGATGATTGGAAAGCGCTGGGTATAAAGTTGGGAATAAATCAATCAGAATTGGAAGGGATAAATGCTGATTATAATAATGTGAATGAGAAAGCATGTGAAATGCTTTCAAAATGGCAAAAGGAAAATGGAAGAGATGCCATTTCAAGTAAATTGGCTAAAGCTTTATGCAGTATTGGTCGTCGAGATCTTGCAGAAAAATTGCAACAAGGTAAAAGCCATTTTGAGTTGTCGCAAACTTAAGAGGTTTTTCATGTAGGAAGTGAAGCTGCTCCAATGTTGATGACTATTTACGTGCGAATAATTCCCATTTTCTTGTTCTTCTGAGAATATCTATCCCATATGTCGATTTTATAAGTTTGAAAATTTGTAATCCAAGCATTGAATACATAAAAGAGAAAAGTTTCTCCGGATTTCGAATGATTTTTATTGAGCTTTCGACTCGTTGCTTCGAGCCTTCATCAGATGAACATCAACATTGGAGCAGCTTCACTTCCTACACAAATGCAAACAACAACGAATCCTAACGAACAGCATCAACTATCGACCACCATTAAAAACAACTCACGCTCAACAAATTGCACAATCAAACGGCCGCCGTATACGCATTTCACTCCATCCAATCACATTAATCCACCCACTAATCCAATTAGACGCTCTAAACGTCTCCAAGCTAAAAGCACGTGTAAATAAATATCCTCATTCTGATGAAGGCTCGAAGCAACGAGTCGAAAGCTCAATAAAAATCATTCAAAATCCGGAGAAACTTTTATCTTTTATGTATTCAATGCCTGGATTACAAATTTCAAACTTATATATATATATGTACTTGTCATACTTCATCTGCATGGAATAATATAATATTCTGAGTCGTTACTTACTCTGATCCTGTACAACATTTTACCGTACCTATGAGGCCTATCGTGCATCTGCAGTTCACAGTGCGGCAGAAGATTGTTAATTAGGGAGAAACACTGCAGTATAAAAACAATAGATTTCAAAGGAAACTAATACAGTACGACAAACATATACGAATATAACATATAAGGATTTCAAAGTAATTTCGAGGTAACCAATATTAAACACAAAATTTTTCATTTTTAGGTCCTGTTTACGCCAATATACCCACAGAAATTCGTAGAGACGATAGGTGTCGCGGTGCATTGACAATGTTCTGTCGCAAAGGTGGAAATTATTATGCATTGACATGCGCCCATGTTGCATGTGACACCCAAGATCTACGAAATGAGTTTTCGAAAATAGCTGATACAATAGATGCCCGAAATGCAAAAGATAGTAACAGGTATTTCTACCAGTCACCGAAATTTGACAAGAAAATACAACTAGGTACTGTTCCCTGCAACACGCTCAGTAAATTTAACAGTGAATCAGATATGATGTATATTCCAGTTGGAAAGAAAGAAGATTTTCAGCATCTCGGTAGTGACAGTATGGAGAAGCTTGCTTTTAATTTCAAGGACGTAAATGAAGAACTTTACGAAACAGCAAACAGCAATAAAGGTGTTGTGGAAGTTCGTACCAGTAATCACGTCACTGGTTTTATCATTGAACGAAATTTTTCGTACATGGACGCAAATTCAACAACAATTTTCAAAAATGCCGTCAAGGTAGAAAGTAGTTCTTCATTTTTGAAGAAAAATGACTCGGGAACTCTAATTTATTTCAAAGATCGTAAAGATGTTTGGTGGCCATTTGCATATGCCGTGTGCAAAATCAATGATGGTAACTGTGAAGATTCCAAGGAATACTATTTATGCTTGAAATTGGACAAAGCACTGCAACTGCTCGATCTAAAGGACTGTGAGTTCTTTATAGAACCAGAAAATGTTAATTATGGCACTTCGTCCAATTGAAGAAAATTTCAAATAAACGATGATGTACAGTGTGCTTCTATAGAATCGAAAATAATTTGAAGTTACTAGGTTTGTTTATTGTAAAAAGCTTAAGTTAAGCTATGGACTTTTGTTTACTAATGGGGCAGATTTGTAGAAATTGATTTTGACAATTTTGGAGTTTAAATCTGGTTGGTTTTACCATTTATTGATACCTCGGCCAAGTTTTAATGCGAAGGAATTGTTTTTGAATTTAGATTTATCTTTAAATATACTTGAATTAAAAACTATAAACAGTTTGTTTGGGCTTTGGCGCATTGCATAAACATTATCTTTCTATGAATGTAATCCAAGATAGCAATGACAAGTACATTGTTTATAGTGAGTTCAAAGAGGACAGAAAGAGATGTTGGTTGTCTGTTGTCTTTGGACTTATTCTTGATTTTCAATTCAGCAATGTTTGATGGTGAACTGATACAAAAGAATATTTTATCAGTGTTAATGTTGTCACCTCTCCGACGTTGGTGTGCAACATGCACTTTTCTGATAAATTAGGGGCTGTTTACATGATTCCGGCTAACCGAGTTTCAGTGAGGCGTGAAATGATTTAGAGGTATTGAAAGGAGTCAAAACTTCAAGCTTAAAAATTACAACTGTTTATTAAGTACCACGAGTCATTTCTGCTGTAATTCTCAAATTAGGCCAAATTTCTTGTTATAATTTTAAATGTTTTGTGTAGTTTTCAAACCAAAATGTTGTGAAATTGCCAGAGAAGATTTGTCTGATGATGAGTATTTAATCGTTTCCACTTGCCAAAATCATTCATAGCTTGACTGAATCCCGGCTACTCGGCTCATGTAATCTGCCCCTTAGTTGCAATTTATGCGATGACACACAAAATACACAACCTTATATAGAATCACAGTGGACATTGTATCATATGCAAATTTCCCGACTCATGTTAAAATATATTGATGTTTTTAAGGTATATAATTTAAAAGAAAATACTTGATGGGCATCACAAAATCCTATTGTCAAGTTAATGCGTTGAAGTTTATTTGTTCTTATGTCTGCAGCTGAGCAATGTAGAAAGAATTTCCTTTTGGAAGAAATGGGGCAATCAAACAGAGCAATGAAATATTTTTGGTGTGCATGTTTGCAACACGGCCGCGATGTTGGTGGTTAAATACAAAGGAATGTTTTATCAATACTATTTTTGGCACCATGCAGTTATCGTGGGCTAGCCACATTATTTAATATAGTTCCCTGGAGGTTGGTTGCTATCCAAGAAAACCATCAGATTATAGGGTATGTGGTTTATGCTATATTATATGAGGAATTGCACGGGCCTATATATAGCAGAAGGAATTGTTTATCGTCATTGAAAGGTTTTAGTTGCAGCCTTCATAATGAGATATTATGTATTTATCTTTTTAAAGCCTTTTATAAGATTGACAAGAGAGGCTCCTAATTCTGATTCCTATTTATGAAACTGGCTCTGTTTCTTGATATTGGTACTTTAGTTGTTGAAATATGCTTGTGTATTAATAGATTATTGCCGAAATGATCGAAATATTTTGTGTCCAAAATACGGGGGGAAATGTTGAATTTTGCAAACTCAGCCATATTCGATTATCTACTGTGCGCTTTTGAATTAGTTCTGTACGATTTTCGAAGCGCCTGTTTGAACAGATCAGTATTTTGTTTCGGTATCCTCTAGAATGTACTAGTATTTCCGCTTCTGTTCCTTTGTTATTGTAATTATCAAAACATTCATTAAAAAGTCTGAAGTGAATAGTTAGGGGCTCACACAACTATTCCCGTGATACTTATAAAAATGTTTGTACTTTACATGATTTCAAAAAGAAGAAATAAATGACAATCAAAAACATGACATGAACGACACTTAAAAAATACGACACAAACGACATATCAAAAAGACGACATGAATGATGAACGACATTTCGGAAACACGATATGAACGAAAATACGACACAATCAACATTTAAAAAAGAGGACATGAACGACATAGCTATTGAAAAGACGACATGAACGACATCTCAAAAAGACGATGTGAACAACATCTAAAAAAGACGAAATGAACGGCGTTTTGATAAGACAACATGAACAACATTTTAAAAAGACCACATGAATGACAATTTAAAAATACGACATGAACTACATGAACGACAAATAGACGACATGAACACATTTCAAGAAGTTGTTATCTCATAAGAGACAACAATTGATTTAGTCATCCTTTCATATGAGTGAGATATTCTTTAACGTTCTTACGTTAGTTTGTTTCTACCTCAATGTCTCACTTTATTTATGTCTACCTTTATGTCTACTCAAATAAATATGACTTTCCTTTAGTTTTTGTTTTTTGATATGTTATTTGGCCGATCAGGAGTCATGCTATTGTGCAATTTACTTGAATTGCCAAAGATGTTACTACAGTGACAACACAGCTTTTCAACAAAATGTCATATTTCAACAGAGCATACTTTTTTTGGGGGGGGACTCTGTAAGTATTTTTGATCCGCCTTCAAGTAAATTATTAGCGACGCAGGCAACATTAATTTGGTTATAACATTTCCGTTGTAAATCTATAAATGTGGGAATTTTATATGCTTCATCATTTTTTCTGATATCAACTGTTTTCATGGTCAGTGAGCATGATTATATACAGCTTTACAAACTGCTTTGAAGGCTTACCATTTCTTAAATGCTTCGTACTTTTCAGAACAGATTTGGGAATAAAGTTTCAACATTGTAACTTGTTTCTTGCAGTACGTCAGCAGCATTTATAAACTTATTTAGTAAAGCAAGAAGTAGGTAACTATAGCTGTAAGTATATTATTAATTGTACGTGTAATCTATGTATGACGGAACTAGCTATGCAGTTGTACATAAATATTGTAATATCGACAAATTTTAAGAATGTGATTTAGCGTTTGAGTTGAAATAGTTGAATTGTAACATTTGTTTAAAGTTTGATTTACAGACTAAGGGAATTTAAGTGTTGACGAAATTTTCCCTTCTTGTTGGACGAAGAAATTACTTACGACGATTAATTTTTGTTTGGCTAAGTATTCGTCCATTTCTGGCAGGCTATTTTGTCTATCATATTCGATATAACGTTGTCTCACGGTTTGTTTGCCACACATTAGAAAGTTCAGCGCAGAAATTTACAAGTGAGAACAAAACACACGAAACTTTAGGTAGAAAATAAGATAGAACGTGTTTATAAAAAGGATACTTTCAAACCAAGTATAGTACAGTTTTACCATACATGTTTTACAAAGATCTGCTTATATATGCCGATTTGTTTCCATAAAACACGAAAGAATTAACACTCCGCACAAACGTTTTATCCTAATATTTGTTTTGAATAAAATGTTTACTTTGTACGGAGTGTCAATATTTTTTTGTTCAAATTCTAATTCCATGTCTGTGTTATTAAATTCGCTTTTGTCTGCATTAGCGACATAAATATGAAAATTTATAAAAGGGACACTGCATTCTTGTGATCAGCTGTTTTGGAATGATTGTTGATGAGAACCGGCAAGTTTTAGTAAAATGGTTTACCCAAAGAGTCACTCTGACGTTAATAATTCCAATGAAATAGACGGTGATGTACATTACTCCAACGCAGAGCCCAGAATCGATCTTGCTTCCGTTAGTAATGCTTAGTGGATTTTATTTAGAATTCACTGGATAACGTTTTCAACATGTTTCAGTCTTTTAGCATTGTATAATGGCTATCAGTTATACAAGACGTTCCGCCTGAAGAGCACGACGAGTAAGAACTACATCAGTATTGTACAAGTTCTTGTCATATTACTCGGATTGATCAGAACGCTGTCTTTAAGTATTTCGCCTTACGATATCATGAGCAACACACAAAAACGCGTTCCGTACATTGTGCCTCGTTTGCTGTTTGCCCTTGGCTATCCTTGCCTTTTTTCTGGCTTCACATTTATGTAAAAGATTTTTATGTTACTCAGCAAGGTTTCGCTCATGAAGAAAAATCCAATGGGAAGCAGTGTGGTCACTAAAATTCTTGTTCTGCCTTTTCTTGCGGTGTTTACTGTGGAATTTCTCACAAGATATGTTAAATGTTTGTAAATGATGATCGTCCAGGTTAATAAAGTCCTGAGAAGGACTGTTTTTGATGTTGTTGACTGACGTTTCGACAACCTTAGCGGTAGTCATCTTCAGAGTCAAATGAGGAGTAAACGTCAGGTTAGCCGTATTTGTTGTCTGGTTCTTACGTCATTGTATTGTGTGTACAGGAAATGTGTATTGTCATTGTGGATTAGTGTGAAGTGAAATATTTTATTTTTAGTTGTGATGTGTGATTTAGGTGTGACGTTTTTAGTTGTAGTGTGTGGGTGTCAATTGTGTATTGTCATTGTGAATTAGTTTGAAGTGTAATGTTTTAGTTGATCGTTTGTTTGTATTGTGAATAAGTCGTTTGTAAGGTGCCGGTAATTGCTGTGATCTGTTCAGGGGGGTTTGTTCCAAGTTGGTATACCAACTTTCTAATGTAAGCCGTTGTCTATAGTCAGTACTGTAAGTGATGCATTTTGCCGAGTCCCAGTCAATGTTGTGCTTTGTGATTCGGTGATGTTCGGCAATGTGATTAGTGTCTTGTTTCTTAGTAGCTCGTTTGTGCTCAGTAAGTCTTATGTTTAAGTTCCTGCCAGTTTCCCCGATATAGGAGGCGTGGCAGTCAGCAGTTTATTTTGTAAACTGCACCTTGTCGTTCGTTGGGTTGTTCTTTGTCCTTTATGTTCGTTAGTACTTGTCGTAATGTTGTGATTGGTTTATGTGCGACACGTATGTTGTATGGTCGTAAGATACGCGAGATAGTCTCAGACGTACCTTGATGATAAGGTATCGTTGCTGTTGTCAGTGAGTTGTTCGTTTCGTTGGGTTCGTTGGGTTTGTAAGTGTTGCGTTTGATAAAGTCTGAGTTATAGTTGTTTTGTCAAAACACGTTTGAGATAGTTGTTTTCGTTTTGTAGAGCGTCCGGTGAATCACATATGATTTGTGCGTCTTGTTAATGTTCTGATTGTGGTGGCTTTGTGAGATGTGGGTTGTAAGATGATTGGTCTAGTAGTCGGTCAGTATGTTGGCTTGCGATAAACTGTTGTTCCTAGTTTTTGATTGTCATGTTTTACCAAACAGTCGAGAAAAGGAAGAGTTCCGTTTTCTTCGACATCTTTGGTAAATTGTATGAAGAGTTCCGTTTTCTTCGACAATTTACCAAAGATGTCGAAGAAAA